CTCCCCCCGTGCGCCCCTCCCCGCCCCCCCAAGAACCCGCTGCGCGGATGACCACAGCCCATCCATCCATCGTCGCTGCTCGCCACCGCTGTTGCGCTCCGGGAAACGCATACGCAACATATTGCGAAATATGCCCAGGGTCGAGCTTCAGCAGCAGATGCACTATAATAAATAGAAGGGCTACGTTGTTCGGTTGAAGCGGGTCGAGTTTTAGAATTGTGCGCGGTCAATGATCAACAACGCGCGCGGTGGCATATTGCCAAGACAGGCATTTGCAATAAGTATTTATGGCGCCTAATTTGAAATTGGGTAATTAAGCGAGCAAATCTCCATGGATACCTCAGTGGATGCATGCAGCTAGAAATAGTGCCCGTCATCCAGCCTTCGGCCAAGTCTTTCCTCCATCATCACCCAGCCCCTGACTCCTGGCTAAATTTTGGACTTTTTATTTTTTTTTCTTTCAGGGATGCCCGACAAGCAGCTTACAAGAGCAGATTGTAAATGAGTGATCATCTTGCTGAATGGTACCACAGAGTGCAGCTGTACCGCGCTGTACCCCCACGACGTTTGTCGGTTTTTAGCAGTCCCAGTAAACCGGAATGCTATGTGCTAACAGTACGAAATGCGCAAAGTTCCGTTGTAAGTCGTCACTTGCTACCCCCCCGCCCCCTTCCGCCCATACATCTTTCGGTCTTTTTTTACAATTACAAATAATGGCAAGTGCGCCAGTCTTCTGTGTCACAGCATTTCTCATGAACACCAAAAAAAGTCTTGCAAAAATTCAATTAAACGAAGTCCTGAGCATAAAGTTGATCGGAAGAAAAAAGAAAACACGCACTGACATTTTCAAAATTGTTGTTCATTAAAAACAATTTCGCATACACTTTTTTGCGTAAATCAGAAAAGCACTTGGCTAAACCATGCCTGTCCAAAATGTCTAAAATTTCACACAAAGCACTGATATGCCATGGGGCAAATTTTAGTGGCAAATAGTGCCGAGCCATAAACCTGGAACACCTTTGTGTCTTCGCTTGTTCTGTCGCGACCCTAAAAGTTAATAGGTTTGACTAGTGTATGTCGAAATACCTAGTTATATATATATGTGTATATATCTATAACTATGCGCAATAACTATATATATATATATACATATACAACGTTCATGCGCTATGAAGCGAGTCTTATTGGCAAATAGCCTCGATCATGTACAGGCCATAAATAAGATATATATGGCCTCGATAGTTGTATATGCATATATTTATAATTATATACAATAGTTAAAATTATACAACGTAAAGTTAGCCAGGAAAATAATACAAAAAGGATCGAGACGCTTTGGAGAGCCGAAGCTCCCCAAAACAGGGCCAAGCAATAAAATGGAACAACTCTGGATCCCGGAGATGGGGAGGAGTGCTTACCGTGGTCACAGGTTACTGAGAATGTAAAACTTTGACGGGAGTAAAGTGCTCAAAGGTTGAACCGGAGAGCAATGGTGTTGCATCACAACAATGCGATTGCTCCTTGCGCAATCTCTAACAAAAAGCCATAAATCATTATGTGACGTATAATGTGGTGGTGCTTTTGATCCCAACTCTAGGGTCCTGCAGCAACAGAACCATAAATTGTTGTTGTTGCTAATGGGTTTTTTGGGAAAATTGTTTAGAGATATAAGAAATGGAGAAAATTGTGCGGATGAGAAAGTGCGAGGGGCCCAGCACATGGGGCAAGAGTAAAAGAGCGAATGAGCAAGTTCATGTGAGAGATATCCGGTCGCTAGATGCTTATTGCGTATGGTAAAGTGGATTCTGATGCAGTTCTGTCCATAAACGCGAAAATCCGATGCTCAAGTGACCCATTAACCACTCAAAATAAACCTTCATGCTGCGTTTTTCTCGCGACCTCAGGTCGCATTCAGCACTCATGTGTACCAAGCTATAAACACTGAATATTGAGTGTCTGATCCACTTGACAATGCAAGATTCACAGCTTGAAACCCGTAATTGATTGCTCTGTACGTCTTACTTTAACTGAGGTCAATTCCGATTCCAGAATTGTACCAAGTACGTTACGCATATTCCCTTTTCTCATCTCAGAAAAGTATTCAAACTTTTTCATTTTAAAAGTATCAGGCCCATACAAATTGTCGGAACCAGTTTTATTGGCTTTACTAGTCTCCTCTTCGACAATGCTATCATGAGCAAAACAATAAATCAGGCTGGTGAAAATTAGAACAGCACAAAACTATCTAGTTGAGCAAACGAATTTTGATGGTCAGCACAGTTTTAGCCACCTGGCCGGCTAACTTTTTTTTTATTTCCCATATCTGCCTGAGATGGACGCAGTAGTGCATTTGACGAACAAAGCAGTTGGATGAAACCGAATAACAAAGCGCAGTCAGTTCGTGCAGTCACGTGTCCACCAAGTCACCGCAAAAAATGCACATTTCTGCTAACTCTCAGAAGTGCTTTTTTTTGTAAAATTAGTCATTTTCGACTTTAATTTACAGATAAAGCTGGGCGTATGCTATCGCGTTCACGTCTACTTCTACGACAATTTACAGAAGTATTTCTTTGGTAAACCATATTGCAGCAAGTGGCATCGCTCTGATGCCAATTCCGTTTCACTCAACGAGGTCACTTTATTCCTGTTTACTGGCTAGTTCCGAAAAAATAGAGAAGTAATCCTGTTTGTTGCTCATTCCGGAAGAATGAAGATGGGACCCTTCTTGCTGTTCGTCCAGGCAGAAAAAAGACGTAACTGGAAAAGCTTCAGGAAACTGAACTAAGCACGCTAGCTCGTTGTTTTCCAATGAAAGTCGCCATTTGCGCTTTTCTCAAAATCTTGCAGCCATAACGGTAACATCCAAAATAGGCTAGAAATTAAAGTAAAGCTGGCTGATTGTTGATGAAATGTGCGTTTTTTTACAGAAATGATTGCACTAAGAAAGTTAACGATAAGTCGCACTCAGTGAAAGGTTTCTCGTAAAAAAACGTTTTGCTTAAACTCTTATATACATTTCTACTTTTTTCCTTGCGGAAGCGGGGGTGAAGAAAGTGAAAACAGCGAGAATGAAGGAGAAATGAGGGAAGAACGTGGTAGATGAGGGATAACAGCGGCGGTGAGGTGATTTATGAGGGTCTAGTTGTTAACCTGGAAATTACGATGGCCCGATATCATTCTTGTCGGTTCTGAGCTGTGGAATATGTCCAGTTACGATGGAACTAAAACAGCCATGCAAATGAGCAGTTATGACAGACAATTTGGGCCTAATTTTGCTTACAGGAGGCCTTTTTTTGGTGCTCATTTCACGATGATGTAAATGTCGTATTGGAGTTGGTTGAAGGCCAGGAAGCAGGACAAAATTCCGGACTTTTTACCGCGGCGTGGGCTTCGTTCCCTCTCGCAAATATTGGCCCGGTCGCTGATTATGCTTCTCCTAATCATGAGATGCTTTTTCGCCGGTAAATTATTTATTTTCTTGGACCGAATTAAACAGCCCTGTCAGAGCGGAAGTCTAAGAAATCGGTGCGGAAAGCAAAATTCATCGACCGGTACACTCTGCTCGGTTTTCAAACAAACTGGAAACAAGCAAATTATATGTAAGGGGAAAAATAGGCATTCTTGTTTATCCAATTTTTTAATACAATTTTATATGTACTACAATTGATAACTTTGTTTATAAGAATAGTTATTAATTATTGGTGAGTAATACCTAAAAAATCTACTAAAACGGAGAAAGAAAATTGTATGTTTGTCGATTAAAACCTCCAATGAATCAGCGGTGAGCTAGTGGCCTTTTCAAGTCTCAAATATCAAGTATCTATAAAGGAAAGGGTGCGAAAAGACGGTGCTCGCATGTGGTGCAAGTGATGGTTAATGGTATGATGTAGTGTCCCTGTAGTGTCGATGTAGTGTCCCTCCTAGTGAGATACCCAGGTGAGTCCACTAAAATCGAACTGTATCCAGCACTGGCCAGCACTGCTGGATACAGTTCGATTTTACTGGACTCGCCTGGGTATCTCACTAGGAGGGACACTACATCGCTTTTTGGGATTTCAAAACCACCGATGAGTGCTTGGATGCCATTTGATTTTTGATGTCGCATTTACATACTTCCTTAATGCATCTACATTTCATGGATTGGTGATAGACGTAGCTTGATGTAAATTACAGAAACATTAAGCACAGAAATTTTAAACGCACATAACGCCGTACGGGTTTATCACAAACTATGTATAAATTCACAGTAACTTCTACTATTTCAATTTATAAGCCGTCACCCATTGCTGATTTTTATACAAAGCAAAATAGCGCCTATTTCATACGATCTCACTACAGTATGAAATCATGCAAAAAAACATGATCGTACCAGAAAGTCCCCATGCATATCGCTAATGATTATAAATATGTAGAAATAGCACAGTAATTGATTAAGTTTTTCTAGGCTGCCTTTGTATCTTGGTTCACCGAAAGCACTGTTTTTCATGGGTGCTGCTGGACTGGAAAGCACAAACACTCTTGAGAAATCTAATGGCATATTTGAAGTTTGCTTGCAAACACACGAAAAAATGCGCGGCGCCATCAATTATGTATCTGCTTGGAAAATATTTAATCAGCGTGAGGACATACTAGAAATTGGCATCGCAAAGAATGGTTCGTTTAGAATTTTTTTACACTGATAAAGCAAATCCGTACATTGGGAATTCGGTGAAATCGTAAAAAATCGTAAACAATTTCAGGCATTTTGCAGCCTACTGCATCTCCAGAACTGCAAACTGAGGCCTGCTTTTTGAAGCAAATAACTGTATCATTTGGTACCGATGCGGATAAATTTGAACAGGCCTTGCTACACCTCCTGAATAATGACCGTCTCTATCGAGCAAACAGGTCGCCCGATGATGTCAGCGTTAAACCCATGGAGGTTCTCGAACGGCGAATTACGGTCAGTCTTTGCTTTCGTCTGAAGTATTATCTGCATGAATGCAGCTGCTTGGACAAAACATTGGTGGAAAGTTGAAACCCTTTTCCTACCCGCTCTTGAGAAGTAAACCGAGTGGTAGTAAAGCAGCAACCAGTCGCTAACAGAGTTGTCGATGGCTTCCTCTTTCAAGGATTGCTCACAAGCACGTTGGTGAAGGACATAAACAGTTTTAAGTTCAGAGGGACTTTAGTGCGTCAATTATCAGAATTGGTAGAAGCAAAGGAAGTTAGATGCAGCGATGCGGTAAAATTTAGCGAAGTGCTGCAAAATTGTGTTAGTCGGCGACAGGTTGTGCAGGGAAACGTTGAATTTTGAGGCTTAAAAATAACAGAAAACTAAAAAAGACACAAAATTCGGTGTCACAACCAATTACACTGCGGAGTTTTTCTTTTGCTTCTGGCAATTAATTAATTGTTTCTGGTCGAGAACATAGATTTTACTGCTGACGGGAATGCTGTTTCTTCTTTCAAACTTCGCAATCGTGTGCCGTGGTGTTTTAGATTGGAGTGCACAATGGTCTGCGTTATGTGGAAGAACCTCAGTGCTTGCATCTCATTCCAACAGAAAATCAGCACACTGACACGCTGGACAAAAACTGGAATAACAGAGTAATGACTCGAAGCCATTCAGATCTGAGGTCAATTTTTGTGGGTTTTTCCATTTTTTAACAAAAACAGAAAAAAAAATGATTTAAAGAGCAAAACTGCTTATTTCTGACTATTATCGGTCCGAGTTTCAGACCCCGATTTCGAAGTCTTCGCATGAATGGAAGTGCGATGTTGAACGGGCTAGTTGCTAATCCTGGTGTCGCAGTCGTTTTCACTCTTGATTATTTGGTCGGCGTCTATTCTCAAGATGTTAGTATTCGTCACCAACCTGACAAAATCGTCAAAGAATTTGACAATCATTCACCTCACACAGCTGCTAATCAACCATATAATACTAAATGGGGCATACACGAGTTAAGGGCTGTTTTGATGACCTGTGGAGGTACTCACGCAATTTAATTTGTGGTTCAAGGTTGTGCAGCAATAGCCATTCATCTTTAACTGGTCAGTTTGTTCCGGTTATTCACACCCTCACGCTTGCGCCATCCCAGTTTCAACAGAATTCTCACGAAATTCTTGAAGACTGGAGTCGCTAGCTTTACTCCAACACCAAATGCACATATTTTCCAGTATTTTGTAGCGAATAAAATGTGGAGGTAATTTTGATCTTGAGTATTTTCAGGGTACAACTTATGCATCACAGGCAGTGATGATTTGCTGGGGCGTGTGGCATGCCTCTGCTGCAGAACGCAAATCAAAAGATCAGACAATTGTTGTTCCTTTAGTTGGCGGTAAATCGGCGTTCTTTGTTCATTTGACGCACAAACAAAAGTGCTTTGAAACCATTATAGATCGAGCAATGTTAAAATCACTGCTTAGGTGTGATTATACAACTTTAGCTTTCATTTTATGCGTGAAACCGATGCTGTTTAAAAAGTTCGTACGCAAAACCAGCCCTAAATGATATTTTCTCAGGGCCATATATCAATCCAGACGAACGACTCTGTTTCAAAAACGTCCAGGACTTCTGGTCGAGCTCACCGTTCGGCAATTTACCCCCAACTATCAGATTAACATTCGCTTTTTCGGAAATTAGGAAGGTCATACTTTGCTATTTTGTATTTGGAACCATTTTTCAGCCTTAGAAAATCTAATTAATGTCGGGAAGTTTCAGAGCATACATCGGCCACCTACGTCGACAGCGCCGCCGTATGCGAGTACGACAGTGCAAGAGCCAGGCGAGCCAACTGCAAAAACTGAGGAAATTGCCGGACCTCGATCAAAACCGGAGAAGTTCCGCGAAAACAGGTCCGTTTGCATTAGTATTAATATTCAGCTAGCTTGGTCATTGATGCAAGTAGCGACATTTTAAAGGTCATCGTTGGGCCAGAAAATCTGCTAAAATATTTGTTCTTAAATAGTTTTTTTGGAGTTTTTCTTGAGCTAAAATGAAGCTAAAGGAAATAAATTTTTAGAGAGTTTTTCAATGTGCCTCTAAATTTTGAATCTTTTACTTTCAGGAGTGAGGCCAGATCACTGCATTCAATTATTCCGGTATACTTTTCGTCGAATTAAAATGAAGAAAAGTCTTCTGCTAACTGTGATAAATACCGATTCTCTGTGGCATATGGATGTATGTGTGCGCGCGTGTGTGTCTCCTGTCCGGTGTGTCCAGATGACCGGACGTTAGAAATGCGGGAACTCGAACTCTGAACGGTTCTTGGCACGGATCATTATTCAGCTCTTTTATATAGTTGAGCTGCAAGCTGGCATGAAAAATCAAGGCAGTTTGCAAGCAGCAGAACGATTCACATCAGAAAGCTGATATTTCGGGGATGAAGCCTTGCAGCAGAATATCGAGCAATAAGACTGGGTAGTTGTTTAGGTAGGTGATCATGAGCCGATGGGTAAACGAGCGATAGGACAATGAAGTGGACTAATTACGCAGACTTGCCACTGGTCAGTGCGCACGCATAAGTAATCGAAAAATTATTGCGTGAATTTGCAGCCAATTAGATCCAGGTTGTTCTGATTAGACGGTGTGCAAAACGGTTGCAGCTGGATGGTGGCAAGTAAAACAGTTCTAGAAACAAAGTTTTAGATGGGGAAATCGCCTGGGCAATTTTTCTGCCACTAACATCGCGATGGATGGGAAACTATGATCAGAACTTTTGCCTCATTCTGCTTAAAAAAAATATGAACTCCATTTTTTCCATGGTATTTTTAACACATTCTCGAATGGAAACTGTATTTAGCGTTGACTTCAGGATGAAGAGCATTATCCAAAAAAGTATTCTGCAGCAAATATCCAGAAACCTGAACTGGTCTCAGACCCACAAATACTCATTCCAAATGCAGCGAAACCGTTTGTTTTGCGCTCATTTTTATGCTTTTTTTCTAATTCCAAGCTTTCTTATGTTTTTCACATTTTTTGTGCGGATTTTGTTTAGGATAGCAAACGCATCCCGCGCACTGATGACCGTTCTGAACGGAATTCCATTTTCCTCTATAAAAGATCGAAACGGAAACGAACCGAAATTCATAGATATCGAAAGGTTTTCAGTATGTTTTTTCCTGGATTTTTGGATCGGAAATGAAAGATTCTTGAAGCCTTCCGTAGTATTATTATTGGAAATGCGGTCTCTTTTCGGTGCTGAAACTTAACTTAAAATTGTCTTTAGGGTCCTGATGTGAACATTGAGCTTAATGACAAGTTAAATACGAATGAAACCATTGTGCAGTATGCGGCCGTTGCATTCAGGTACAAAATCATTCGCTACTTTCGGTTCATCATCACTATTATATTGTTTTTCTGTTTTGTGCAGCTTGAGCTCCAGTGGCGTTGTCTGTTGGCAGTTTGGGTACTGGTGCTGTAGGATTGTCAAGCCCCAGCGGCCGAACAATTGCGGATTCCTACATGATTTAGCAGATCATTGCACTGGGATGAACCGTCCGAAAAACCGACCTCACTGCCAGTGTTTGGCAAAATTGACCTTTTCCTTAGTTCGATGCTGAAAACACTGCCTTTTTCGCAAGTGCTACTCGTTCCTGCACTAGCAGCTCTCCTGTTTGCTACGCATTTTGGACTTTTCATTCAGAAAACTGTGACAGGTGCTCACAGGCATGGCAGATACTGCAAAAAGCCGATAAGAGTTGGAAAGTGCTTGTAGCAGCAGCTTTAGACTGTGAAGTAATATGTAATGTGAATAGCATACGTATAAAATAAGATACTCAAATAACTGTGGCGTACTACGGCAGGTGGAACAGTGATTTAGCAGGTCAAGTCTGAATGTGAAGAAGAGTGGTTCGATTCCTCTAGGCGTATTATTTATTTGCAGAAAGGGACTCTGTTCTTGAAGGTTGGCGATGGCAAGCAGTTACTTGCCAGATGGCTCCAGATTTCTTCAGAAACTTTTTTAAAAAAACATAAAAATTTGAATGGACCATGAAAATTTATGAATTTTCTGTGAATTAAGCTCAACTTCTTTAATAAGCAAGCTGAGATGAGTAAAACTATAAAGATCATATTTGCAGATGATTTTAAGCTCTTTTCCTTAATAAAGTCACCAAGACACTGGGCTGTTACATCACACCAACTATCTGTATTTTCCAGCTCGGAAGATAATGGACACTTAATGATGCCCACATCGGTTTTCTTTACGATGCAGTTCTATCGTTTTCAAACAGTAACGACTGAAAGGTTCTTCTAAAAAGTTGTAACTCAACAAAAAAGCGTACGCAAGCTCGCCGGCGCATTACGCTTTTTGCTATAATCTGTTATGAATATAAATGAGTAAACACATACTGCGCGGAATTTGCCAACATTATGTTTCAATTAATTCCTTGCGTAAACCACCAAAATTTTGGATTTTTGATCTGCTTCGTCTCGAAGTTCTAGGATCAGCTTGCAGCTAGGCGTACGGTCGCGAGCTAACAAACAGTGGTGAAAGGATGTGATTAAAAGCCATAGAATCTACCAAATTTTGTCAAGTAAAATCCTGAAATTTCGATGTAAAGCTTATTCATTTCTGAAACCGCACATTCTGTGCATGTTTGTCATAAAGTAACATCGAAAATCTGAAGTTTTCCTAAAATATGTCTGTTGCGCAGGTTATTGTTGCATGAAGCCCCCAGGAAAGTTGGTACGCATGAACGACTGCATATTTTGAAGCGTGCTGAAGGCACCGAGAAAAATAGTAAAACGAGCTGCTACGGCTTTACGGTAAATACTTTTACATTGTCTAAAATCATCGCTTTCCGGGACGGGGTCTGTGGAAGATTTTGAACGAGTGTGGAAAATTCGCTTATTTAAAAAAAATTTGCAAAAAACTAAGAAATTTAGGTGAAATATACCGTTGACAGGCATTCGCTTCCTGACGGAGAAGAGGATGATTACATCAATTATCTGCTGAGTGGCCATCTGATCATTGACATGTGGGATGCATGCTCATTGTTGTCTCTTGGTACAACGTATGTACCGCTCAGAGTTAGTCCAATTTCAATCCTTGGCGTAGTCAGTGTCTGATAAAGAAGCGAGTGCACCTCACAGTTGACACAAATCCGTCCTAGTAGCCAAAATTCCCTCAGTCTACTTTTCCTCGTCCTTTTTCAGATTTAGAATCGTAGTGTTTAACTGAACATTTTTGGACTACTTTTTGCTTTCTGATACTAATTAGTGTCTCAAGACAACTCAGCAAAGAAAAGTAAATGATTTAGCTGCTCACCACTAATGACCAAATCATTTTTCTACTGTAGCTTGCGAAATATTACCTCCAAACATGCCGTGAAAATCTTCAATAATATAGAGTTTCTTTGCCCCTACAATCCTCTTGTCTGGTTTATGGAATGGACTTAAAAAAGTATTGTCTGCCGAACAGCATATACACGTTTCCCTCACAGTTTCCATATGCATACGGTAACTGAAATCTACCGGTTTTGCTAACAGCGAGTGGAAGTTGCCTTTCTGAACGGCCCTAACAAGGAAGAAAATTACTACAAAAAGTGCTGGCACTTGCGCGTAGTGGATACGGTAGGTGCAAAACTGAAGGCGTGGGCTTTAGAACAAAGGTACGGCACTCTGCGCTCCGCTTATAATGCCATCCAATAGGGCAAAAAATATCTGCAAAGCTGGGTAACCAAAGGCAGAAAACTTGAACTCGCGTCAGTTTCATACTGTAATCCACTTAATTGGAGAATTTTATCAGCATGCAACTCAATGGGCCGAAACATTTCTGTTCATCTGATTGTCCTTTTAATATATTTTTTTATATTTTATATATATCAAAGATAATATTTTTATTGCAGTACTTGTTAAGACACGGATCAGAAGCGGTGCAAGCAGTCGTGCAGTGTACGCCAGTGCTTAACAGCTTGATTGGCGAATCAGTGACGAAATACAACGTGCTACTTAGGCTGGCTAACATTGGCCATCCATCAGCTAAACAAATAGGTACAGATGATGATTCATGCTGAAAATTATGCGAACTAACATCGAAAATGGGATTTATCAGTCATAGGCAGAAACAAAAATGTTAACTGTATTTTCTGTTTTAGTCAAAAAGTCGAAAGTCAAGGTCTGCTTCAAGTACATTTTGCATAAGAGACAGAGGCACTCGGAAGTAACGCAGTTCCAACACCATCTGCGCGTTGGCAAAATCGTTATTCACCCACTGTATTAAAAACTGTACTGGGCAACTCAGTTTCGCAAATTCGGAAATACAACTGTATTTACAAATGTATTTAGACATAACGCGAAGTCGAACCAGCTCTGTTGTAAGCCAGAGATTAGCCCGTATTGGTCAGGATGAGATCGAGTCGTACCGGATCAAAGTTAAACCGCTGAATCCAATCCATGAAAATGCACTGCAACGATTCGTCACTACAAACAGGCGCGTTTCCGTGATTTGTAAGAAGCTCTTACAAAGCAAGCAGTGAGTTAGCTACTGGCATTTATGCTGGTGCCGCCAGCTGGCCGTCACCAGTAGCTGGCATTACTAGCTGGGACTTACACCAGCTGAATCCAGCCTCAGCGAAAAGCAGTGTGCAATTGTTTCAACTATAAATGGGCCTGCTCGATGACCGATGCTAACAAATGCGACACAAGAATAAGCATGAAATGAGAGAGAGAGAAATCATGTTTTTTAGTACCTGTAGACAAGCGCTGGCAATAAACTGTCGGGGATTTCGGGTGAAATAAGGCGGCTGCGTCATGGACTGGACCGCTTGATACGCACCTGCATCCATGTATTGCTGCCACCAGTGACTAAACTCATCGATCATTTTCCTCGAAAGCTGTCAGAATGTTGGGCCTGGTACACTTACAAAACATTTTTTCAAAACAAAATCTCAAAAAACACTACCCAGAGATAATATAGTACGGGACGGTAGCAGCACAAAATTACAGATGACGAAAAAAAGAGCTGCTTTGCAAAAACGATAAAAAAGCTATGGGAATAATAAAGTTGAAAAAATGAAATCACTATGCTGAATCTATGGTAAACCACGGAGGTTTAACAGCATCTTCATACAAATCTGATCTTTGCTGCTGTTAATCTCAAGAAGGTTTGCTGTGCAAGAATGGTAGCGATAATGAAAGTAATGATAACGTTCGGAGCTGCAAATGCTCCAACACAAATTTCGCCTCGGGACGGGCAAATTCTTAGAACTGCTGGAGCTAATCGGTGAAAACCTGGCTCTCAATTTACGTAATTTCGACCTTTTGCTGGCACTCAAATTTGAAAAGGGAAGTGGGAAAGAGTCGGGGATGGTGAAATCCAATTTGTCTGTATACAGTATCAAACAGCTCTATCGTTTCTACGGGCCAACGATTTTGCCAGTTTAAGGTTTGACATAAATCAGCGTTATGATGAACTCATGAATGGATTGCCGCCGGTGAGCTCAAAGAACCATAATTTTGCGACCAGACCCCCTACAACCAAGGTATGAAATAAATTTTTTAAGACTCTTTGTTTCGTTGTAGAGATAAACGTCGCGGTCAATGCAAGTGGGCCAAAATGACCATGTTTTTTAATCGCACGTATGCTCAATTAGCCACTGCATGAATTTTCGCGTTTCATACAAAACTGGTCACGCTGCTTCCCTGATGTTTTAACTGACTTTGAAGTTCTGGAGTTACGAAATAAGCTCGAGTCTGGATTTGGGATGATGCTAAGTCTTTTCTCATTTTTTGTTGTCAACTAAAATTATGCAACCAAGTTACAGGGATCAGTGAAAAGATATCTCTTCGAACAGGAGTTAGAAGCATACAAAAAAATGCGTAATGAAGACAAGGCGTCCAAGTTAATGAAGGCTGTTTTCAAAGCAATCACTACCCAGCACCGGTCGGTTTCTGGCTTTTGTTCACTTTCTTAGGAATATAATGCTAATGCTAGTGGTAATAATGCTCACCTAATAACTCTATCTTTTCGCGACCTGGAAACAATGAAATTTGCGCTTGGATTAGATAAAAATATGAGTTAGAAAAACTGAAGAAGTAGCGAAATTAGTTGAAAGATACTATACCGTTTATTTACTGGGCGAGTAAAATTCAGATACTAAATTCCCGCAATTTCTCCTGAAAAAAGAAATTAAAAAAAGGAGCAATAGAAAATGTCGGTTGCGAGTGAAGGGTTTTTGCATGACGCCCTTCGTGAGCTTTATAAAAATAGAGATAAATACTACCACTCAATTTGAAAGATGCGGAGTTGTGACTCAGGATAGTAAAAAAGAGGAATTATCAACTCACATATCCTTCTTCACTTGCAATGCAATTTCCACCTATCATAATCCCACAGCAGAATACCACCAAAATATGTAGTTGCACCAGTCTAGCGAGAACAGGTTTATGTGAAAAAAGACAAACGCTTCTTGTTTTCACTCTCAACGACCCCATAATTCCAATAATCTCCTCTTATAAGAAATATTTTGAGGTAAGCTGACGTTGATTTGAATTTATTTTGAGGTCAGTAGCAAAAATGATAGTTGAAAGAATCAGTGAATCATGGAAAGGTTGATTCCGGGAAAGGTGTGGATGCATTATGACTGTGAAATGGTCAGCTACATAATCCTCTTCCTCTCAGTTTTACTACTTCAACAAAATAGACAATCTCTGTTTTCCAACTTTGATTTGTATACTTATCCAGTTGACGAAATCCAAGGTCCAGCCATTAATCCCCACCGATATTATCCTCACATTTTTGCAGCATACACCCAAAGTATGGACAGATTGCATTTTTTGAATTTTTACTCCAAAACACTGAACCCACAGCAACTGTTATCATCGTTGATACGACAAACAATACACTGAGGTTATCTTTCCTTCACAGCTTTAATTTTAACACTTTGTAATGTGAGTTCACTTGCCTTTCGTTCTTCCTCTCTCTTTCTCTTCTCTCTCATTCGGTGCTGATTACTCCTAAGTTTATAATTTTTTTCGTATGAAACTTTTGATGCTGAAGGAGAAAAGTGTTTGAGGCAAAAAAATCCAAGATTTTTTAGACAATCTCCAAAGAAATTGGGAACTTATTTTTTTTGTTTGCGGTTATTTCCTTCTGCAGCGGTACTTCTCAATGATATGCCGTGCACACCGAAGCAAAACATATAGTGTGTCCCAACATCAAACCTAACTCCCTCCACGCAACGAGTCCCAGCACCACTCGTCTACTGGTCGTCAGCAAAGCACAAAGAAGTGGACGGTATGCGTCGGCGGGAGGTATTCAGCTTAAGGGGTACAGCCCTTGAGGCAAATTCCGAAAAGGTGACGAGAATACAAGAAACAACAAGCAAGTACCAACTGGAAGATTGCAGCTCAGGATGTAAAAACTTGAAATAAATGCATCTGAAGTATGTGTATGCATAGCAATAGCAGTAACATCCCCAAGTGATCCTGGTAATTTTGGCCGTACTACTAATACACATGGAAAATGTTTTGCTTACAGACCGCTTTGCGATGCAAATAAATGGCAGTACTACAAAAATGTGTGTGGGGTTGAAACACCGCTGGAAAGCAGCCTTTATGGGGTTTCTGAAGAGAACGGGCAAATCGTTGAAGTGTGCATTTTTCTGAAACCAATGGAGACGATTTATGCGCCTTTCCTTTATGACACATTCACGTTGCCTCCAGATCAGATCAAAAATCAAGTGAAGGTAAAAGTTGCTCGCCTAATTGCTCAAACAACAGGTATCATCCCACTTGGCTTTTTTTTTTTTTTTTTCAGAACACAATACGCTCAGCGGATCGTGTTCTGAAAAGTTTTGGCGCAAAAATTGTTAATTCGAGAACCAGGAAAACTAAGAAGCTGAAATTTTAGGCGAATGTTCTTCGCACGCGTACGACCCCACAAGCTCCAATTTAGCCCCTAGATCTCACGCACGGACGCATGAAATTTTTGGCACAAAACAATAAGTCGCAAAACATGAAAACTAGAGAGCTGAATTTCGGAATAATGCTACTACCCCCGTACAAATTGCAGTTCCTTTACAGGCTTGATTCTCAGATATTCTGGCGTGGAAATTGTTCCCTCAGGAACCAGAAATCTTTAGGAAGGTAAAATTTTAGGATAATGCCCCCTGCCACCATATGAATTTATACTCGTGCCCGCCTAGATCCCATGTAAGGACTGTTGAAAATTTTGGCGCCAAAATTAATAACTCGGGGATCACAAAAGCTGGGAGGCTGAAATTTTAAAAGAATGACCCCTGCTCGCACCATATTTCTTATTTCAGCTTCTTAGTTTTTCTGATTCCCGGATTAACAATTTTTGCGCTAAAACTTTCACGTGTTCGCACATGAGACCTGGGCGCACGCGAAGGCTGAGTCTAACTTTACGGAGTCACACGCGGACAAAGAACATTCCCTTAAGATTACAGGTTTCTAGCTTCTGTGTTTTCTGAGTTAATTTAGGCGGCAAAACTTTCATGTGACCGTGCATGAAACCTAAGCGTACGCGAGCACCAAATTTGAGTTTGTGAGGTCGCGCGTAGGAATCCCTAGGGATAAAATTTCAGCTTTCTGGGTTCGTTCTTCAGTCCCTGAGTTGAAATCCCTAGATAAAGTGCACCCGGAACAGACACACGCACAAACACACACACACACACACACCAGGAATTCGATAATATACGTTTTTATAGCAATGATCTGCATAGGGGAACGCATGTTCACAAATTAGCATAACATGCGTGTATATCAAGAAATAGTAGCCTTTGCTTGTCTCGCCGCCGTTCACTGAGTATCCCACTCACTATCATGTTCTCAACAAAGAGGAAACCGCCGTATTTGATGGTTCCGTGGAAATGGTGGAATGAATGCGCACCAGCGCGGGACAAAGGCTTCCGTTCACTGCTGGGATGGTGGAGTTGCTTCATTTCCATTCATTTTTGGAGTGGTTCATCGTTGCGAAAAACAACTTGAACCAACAAAACGACTGCGAGAAACCACAAGCGTGGGGTTTTTGAGGCGAATAAAAGCCTGTTATATTCTTCTTATCTAGGTAAGGCGTCATTTGTCGCACAGCATCTAGTTTCTTGCTGAACATCATAAACCCGTATAACTCTCTCTCATCTCCTCTGTCCTCCACATAATTTCTGCCACTGTTTCCAGTTCCTACCTTCAAAGAAAATCTCAGTTCCATTCCAGTTATTGACTGTATTTTCTACCCTCTTTATCATCACCTTTGAGAATCAGCCCACTACCCCAGCCTTCTGCTCCCATCTACGTCTACTCCTTCATCATGCGACGGGATGTACCACATTCAACACAGCACTCTCGACAAGCAACGCAATCCGTTGCAGTGGCACGCAGAGTCTGTCAAAATTTCTACCAGTGCAGCTAGGCTGATATTTACGGATCTGAAGTGTGCACTTCCCCAAGCAAAATATTTGGAGTTTGTTAAACTGGAGTGAATTTATACAATTCTCTTTTTGAGGCAGTGTTCAAAAAGAAAGATGACGGTGAGCCGATTGCAGTACTGGATTTGCTTGTGGAAGTTCGTCAAAATATTGTTAAAAATTCTTTCCGATTTTATCACGAAGCCGAAACAACGCTATCTAGAGTAATACGCATCACTCAGAGAAAAGGTAGATACTAAACCTTCCAGTTGTTGATACGGTTCAAAATAATTTAAAACTGAGCAAATTTTGCTTTAATAGGTGAACAGGTACTTGTCTGTAACCAGATTCTTTACAGGTTCTGAACTAAATCTATCACCCACTCCTGAATTGGCTTATCAAAATTTGTTTCCAGGTGATGCTCATGTCTGCGCTATACGTTGCACTGATCCTCTTGTGATACTATCACTGAGGAACAATCCAAATGGATGCCAGGATCTGCAATTTACAGTTCGTTCTCAGAATTACTCGAACGGTAGATTCTGTAGGTTACTGTGATTTCACAGTGCGAAAAATTACTGCCTAGTTGGTTAAAAAAGGCCCAGATGCTCTTTCTTTCTCATGATTTCTTCAGCTTTTTAGTTCCTCTTTATTCCGAATTTGCTTTTAGTTATCATAATATTTTGATAATTTAAAATTTTTTGCAGTGCCAAACGGGAAAAGCACCATCTCTGCAAACATTTACCGTAATATTTTTTGCCGATAGTTATTACAATGTTGCACTGGGATCCTGGTTGATACATGTGCATGCGGTGAATCGAATCAGTGTAAATGCGGTCCGGGCACAACTTACCAAAGTGCCCATTGTTTTGACGTATAAATTTAGTTTTTAAAATTTTGGTAGGTGTAAGATAAGCATTTACAGTTCCTTATAGTAAAACAAACAGCAAACACGAGAATTATCAGAAGGCGATTTTCCCAATGGTGTTTTTAGTCGAAATTAAGGGAAGAGCAAAAAAAAAACCATTTTCATTCCAAAATGAGGAAATCGAGCAGTCTTACATTGGTTGATGGAAGTGAATTAATTTTCAGAGTTGATGAGGACTGCAGCTTGGTCCAGTTTGGCAGCTTATCACGAAAACTTGAAATTTCACCACCCCATTTTACTGGTGTGCAGCGTGGAAGTACTGTAACTGCTTCTGCTAATTTTTCTCAAAATATTCCAGGTTTGTTTTTCAGATGCTTTCTTAAGAATAAGGAAAACTGACTTTTTTTATCGCAAACCCTATGCTTATTTCAGAATGTTAAGGGCAGAGAGAAGTTATTTCTATACTTATATGCGAAATCAAACAATTAAGCGACATGATTAACGCACGTAGTAGCTACGTCTTCTGCCATTATTGTAGAAAACCAATCTCGGTTTTCCCTAACTTTCAGTTCCGAGGAAAGGTACTAATATGAACAGGAAGATAGAATACTATCAAAAGAAGTGTAGATGATGCACTGGCTTGAAATGAAAGTTTTAGAAAGTTTCTGAGATAGGCAACTTTGAGAATTTGTGGAAAGGTGGTGAATCCGTGTCCCGGGTGTTCAGTCGTGCAGCTTTGTTTAAATAGAGGTAGATGTCAGATCTGGCAAGAAAAGTGAGTCGGAGTGTTGGTGCTTTCGGGCTTGGTAAGTGTAAAACAAATCAGATATTTTTGAATAATGGAAATTGAGCTAATGGATGGGATTGATAATATTCTGAACAAATTTTTTCCAGTAAGGATCTGAGGCTTGCACTGGCGAAACTAGTGCTTATCTGTTACTATGATGAAACTTGTGTTTGATCCTACGCAAGTAAAGCAAATGCATCGAGAAAAAAAATCATCGCTGCTAAAGAAGATTTTTTTGAAGGTGTTCGAACGATATTGATTTGCGCTACAAACCAGGAAACAAAACGCCTTTTGAATCAATGGATGATTGTAGCGAATGTCCAGGAGGCAAATATTACCAAAATGTTCGACGTTTATTTGGAAAATGGCAAAAGTCAAACAATTGTTAGATTTTTAAATTGAATACAGATTTTCAGAGAAAAAAAGTTTAAAAATGATTTATTCCAAAACTTAAAGTTCCTTTTCACCAAGCGGAAACAGAAGCGCTTTTGCAACTGAAGCTCACCTCCAGGTATATTCCCGTTAATATTTTGATGCGGACATTTTTCTTGATCTCGGAATCGTTTCTAGAAAATCAAATTTTTCTACAAAACACTACTCTGGGTTAGATATGAATTCCAGCATAATAAAACTTAAATCAGCTTTAGCAAATTTTTAAAGTAATCGTTACAAAAACCATTGACAGTAAGAGTAACCAAAAAAATTGCTGCCGCTTAAGAAGCGTATGAGTGTCTCAATGGCTCGTTATGGAGCTACTTTGATTGAGTTTACAATTATTCCTGTTAACTGATACTAAAGTATGGCTAACAACCGATAGGCTAGCCACTGCAAAGTACTTCTCCTTACCAACCGCACAACGATATTTTAATTTTGAACAGTTGTACTCACTGTAACCGAAAATTGGCATTCTGTGAATTGTCGTAAATCAACAGTTTTCTTAATCTTTCTAGTCTATAATTGTTCAGGTCCGAGTCTTTAGGCTGAACGCAGTAGAAGAGCCAAACAAAAGAACCTAGAAATTTAAAAAAAAAATTCATGCACGGATACAAAGGATAAATTATTCGGCCAAAGTCAGACTTATCTACGAACGGTTTCAAAAAAGCGCAGCTTCATTGTTCAGGAAATTTGGGGTGTTTGCTTGAGCTCATCGTCCTTTTTTTTCCCAGAAACTGATGGTCGGCAATCGATACGGTGTAGAACGCTCATTCCGGATATCCTCTTCACATCCGGAATACGCTCGAATCGAAGATGAACTGGTTCTCATAGCGGCTTACAAAGTCACAGATGTTTGCATTACGTTTTTGCCTAGCAACGAACTTAAATTATCCGAGGTTTTGCCTTATACTTTTTTGCATAATTTCATTCAAATTCAGTCAGTCCATCCGATCGGAGTTGTTTCGAAAAGAAAGTTGAGGGAATTTTGCTGAAAATTTTATTTTCGCTTCGCCTTCATTTCGGCATTCCATTTTTCTCACACGTCCATTGTCTAATAAATTTTTCTACTTTTTTCAGGTGCTAATATTCATTACAAATGTGGAAAATAATTTGCAAGAAGAAGCATATTCCTTGAAACTCATTTACAGTGATTAGTGATTGTACTCATTCACGGAGAACTGTGCAAAAAAGACTTCCATTTGTAACTAATAAACAATGGTGCTTTTCGAAGAACTGGCATACATATGCGTTTTTGCAACAGGTTTTTTACTGGTACCTAGTTTCTCATGCTTGCCCTTCTCATTCCGGTCCAACAGTCCCACTCCTCTCATTCCTCCGTTCTGAGGGGAAGGCGAAAAATTGGACATCCTAGCAGTTCACGAGTTGTGGAAAGCAGTCCGTGTCCATTCCATTGGTTCTGCTTTGTTTTCAGTTCTCATAAGCAGTGACGAGGGATTTTAGGCAGCAATGATTATATGGGAAGCAACAGAACAAGACGACGGCTACTAGTGGTGCCGGCGGCGGCGTGAAAGCAGTTCGCGCTCTTCCGGTGGACATTCCCAGCCCCGTTGATTTGTACAGTCGGAATATTCCAGCGTGTTACTGTTTAAGCGTTCAATAATGCATGTTCTCGATTTATCGTCGCAGAAGCAACCTTTGTCACTGAAATTGGTGCTTTTAATACAGCAATACATAGCTATGCACATATTTTCAGCGTGTAACCATTCTTCTTTAACCAGTGCCTATCCAATTAATTTAGAAATGATAGAGTAGGAGATAAGAGATCAGTCTAAGTATCATGTGCAAGAAGACTTGTTTGAATACACTCTAGAGAATGATTTTTAGAATTTGAACACACAAACTCGCGAATATTCAAAATTTTTCTACTCCAAAATCTGTTGCTTGTGATGATTTGTAAACCAGACAGAAACGCACCAGGCCGGCCCGTGCGATCATGCGTTTTTGCACAGGACTTGAAGTACTCAGGTCATT